CCTGTGTGTAACACCCATGTCGGTGTCTGCGGGAGGGTTCGCGGTGGCACTGGCATAGCACGGTGCCCAGCGGGCACACCGTGAGCTCCCAGGCAGGGACGGGGGTCCCGGCCTCCCATTCTACCAGGAATGTGGCCTCTGCAGTTCCCAAGTGGCTACAGCAGTGCTGTCCAATACGGGCCGCCTGGGTGGTTGTAAGTTCTCTTGTAGCCACATTTAAGAGAGAAAGAAACAGGAGAAGTGAATTTTACGAATGTATTTTCACTTAACCCGTTGTATCCAAAGCAGTGTCTAGCCTGGCGCATGTTTCAGCACAGCGTCGGGACTGGAGCCGCTGAGCGTCCCTTTTGCAGCGTGTAGGCGCCGCCCGTCCTCTGGCCCCTGCGGGCAGCCCAGGTCTTGATCCAGACAGCACTCCGGGAGCAGGGCAGAGCCCCGGGCTTGAGTGGCTGATTCTGGACTGAGATTCTGCCCTCAGGTGCTCTAAGCTCCCTTGCGAGATCACTGAATAATGTATAATCAGATAATAGAGCAGCTGCTCGAAAAAATTAACACAAAATGTTGCCACTTAAAAAACGCGTTATCAGGCAAACTGAGCCCAAAGTGCGAGGCCTGGTTTTGAACTGCCGGTGAGACAACGGCCTGCCCCTCCCTGTGGCCCCCTGCTGCATTCCGGGTGCTCCCGGGAGCCTGGAGCTGCTCCTTGGTTCTCAGACCTGCCCAACTCCTGGGCGGGCCTGGGGTTAGGTGCCTGCACTGGGGGTGCCCCCCACCCAGGACTGGGAGCCAGACTTGCACACAGAAGACCAACGTGCATGATACAGTTCACCGTGGGAGCCCAGAGTGGGGCCGGGTGACAGCCAGCTCAGAAATCAGGGAAGACTTCTCGGAAGAAGTGACATCCGGGTCTTGGAGCCCACGAGCTGGCGTCCCAGCAGGGGGAGCAGCCTTGCAAAGGCCTGGCAGGGCGCGATGCCCGCGAGAGGGGCTGTAGGGAGTGGTGGTGGTGGGGCAACCTGCCCCAGACCCCGAGCTCCCGCCTCAGACGAGGCCTCCTGCACCCTGTGGAGGTGTGGCAGGTTTGAGACACCGTGTGGTGTTTGCAAGAAACCAGAGTCATTCAGGCTCTGTGGCAGTCATGGGGAGGACCACATCTCGGAAGGCCCGCAGGGACCCCC